AAACATAGGACAAGAGTTGGTGGAAGACGGGTGATCCCCGGAGCAGTTCATGCACATCGTACGCTGGCAGTTTTCAGGGAAGTGTACTGGAAGACAGCAAATAACGCACATTGGAGAATTTCGGCAGTGTTTGGCCGTGTGTCCCAATTTCTGGCACGATTTGCATCGCATTGGATTTGGAATATAAGGGCGCACAGAGGTCATTCCCCATGCGATGTCAATTTTTGAATCTCATCCAGCAATTCCTAAGCATGGAAAAAGGCCTGATTAAGAAAAGAGAGCTAAAACCAGCATATGATAATGTGATGGACGAATATCATGAACTCAATCATATGGAAGAAACTGTACTATATGAAAGGTAGATATTTATCTTTTTACTTTCCACATCATGGGGCAATAAGACCTGATAAAATCACAACGAAAATACGAGTAATGTTCAATGCCTCAAAGTGTACGAGCTCAGGCAAATCACTAAATGATGTATTATACACAGGGCCAGCATTACAACGTGATCTCATGTTGCTAATACTAAACTGGCGCATGYTTAAATACTTTTTTAATGGGGATGTTGAGAAAATATAAAGTTAAATTCTGGTGCATGAGGATGACCAAGATTTCCAACGCATAGTCTTCCGCAATTCAATTAATAATTCAATTAGCGGCTACGAACTTAAAACAGTTACCTTTGGCATCAACTGCGCACCCTATTTAGCCATTAGGACATTACATGAAGTTGCCAAAACTGTGAAACAAATTTATATCACTTCTGTGCTGCAAACTCAAACATATGTGGATGACATTTTATCAGCCACAGTATATCATTAGTGTGCGAATCATTACCTCAAGTGATCAAAGCACTAAATTCAGCAGGTTTTCCCCTAAAGAAAATAACATTAAATCATCCCTTATTCATATTAGATACTGACTTCTTTAAATTCGAAAAGGCTAGTACAACAAAAACACYAGGGCCTCAATGGAATGCGATAACAGATCAATTCTCATATACAATTGAGTCATTATCTGCAATGTCCGCCATTACAAAACGACAAATCCTTTCCTCGGTGGCAAAACTTTTCGACCCCGCAGGATGGCTTTCGTCAATAATGATTCAAACTAAAATTCTCATTCAAGAATTGTGGCAAGATGGCACTGAATGGGATGAACAGGTAAAMTCTGTACGTTTAACAAAATGGGTTAAATTTGCTAACAACCTCCATATTATATCAGAAATTCGAATCCCTTGATGGGCAAATATCACCCCTAACCTTAACGCAGAATTACACGGTTTCTGTGATGCTTCTGAAAAGGCTTATTGTGCAACAGTCTACTTACGCACTCAGTATGATACCAAAATAACTTCACATCTTTTGGTAGCCAAAGTTGCACCTTTGAAGACACCAAGCCTGCCACGGCTTGAACTAAATGGTGCTCTTCTGTTAGTAAAATCCAAAAATCTATCTCAAATTAAAAGATCACAAAATGGATCTCTGGTCAGACTCAGAAATAGTTCCAGCATTGTTGGAAAAACCACAATATTCTTGGAAGACAAGAGGTTGAAAACCACTTCACCTCACCAGCACTACACTCTGATGGAACGGTCCAACATGGCTAACAGAATCACAAGAATTCTGGCCAAAATCTCCTGCTCGGAATATCATACCTCTGGAAAGTCGGAAAATAGAAAATTTTCATATCACTCCAGAAGAGGATGATATTCTCCACAGATTTTCATCATTTTCTCGAGAACTAAGGGTTGTCGCTTAAATGCACAAATTCATTCATAAACTTMAACAAAGGGCGAAAAGAATATCAAACGATTCTTACACACAACTAACATATTCCGACTTGCAACATGCCAAGGTCAACCTAATCTTGTATACACAAACTCGCTATTTCAGCAAAGAGAAATCAAAGTTGCTTGAAAAGCGACCTCTCGAAAAGGGAAGCTCACTTCTCGTCTTAAATCCATTCCTGGACGCTAAGGGATTAATATCTATTCTTGCAGCATTTGCCCGCTTTGTCGAACGACGCGGATTTCCTTTAAAAATTATGAGCGACAATGGGAAAAACTTTGTTGGAGCTTAAAGAGCTACGGAAGAGGAGTTTTTATAACTCATGAAAGAAGTATCCCCAAAATTGTCAAAAAATATGTCCCCCAAGGGATCGATCGGCAATTCATACCCCCATGTTCTCCACATATGGGCGGACTCTGGGAATCAGCAGTAAAGAGCTTTAAGTCCCATTTGGAAAATGGTTGGTAACCATAAATTCAATTATGAGGAGGTTACTACATTACTCGCTCGTATCGAAGCCGTACTAAACTATAGACCTATCTCACAACTCTCGTAAGGTCTCTCTGACTTCACAGCTTTAACCCCAGGGCATTTTCTAAAAGGAGCACTCATTCTAGCCACACCTGAGCCTTATTAAACAGATGGGAGCGAATTAAAATCCTCCATCATGATTTCAATCGCCGATTTAAGGAGACTACATAAAGGACAAGAGATACCGGTGGAAAACTCAAGAAAAGGCACCAAAGCTTGGAGACTGCGTCCTTATACAAGACGATTGTCTCCCTCCTACGGAATGGCGACTCGGCTGCATAAAACAACTTCATTACGGCTCCGACGGTCATGTTCGAGTAGTTGTTCTCCGCACCCAAACCGGAACGCTGACCAGACCGCTCGTCAAATTATGCTTTCTACCAACCGCGGAAGATAAAGAAACGTAAAACCGAAACCGCAACGTTAATCAATCAATAAATCGCTAAAACATATAAACCTCTTACCAAATCGAAACATGGAATAACATAAAAAACCATAAAAGACCTAACATAAATGTCTGATATAAAATGACATCTTATCAGGCCACATATCGTGGCACAAATGTCCATATTATTTTAAATTTCACAATATATTACTAATATCACCATTTCTCTCGCAGAATAATATGGATGTGGATATGGCATCATCCTCAAAGCCAACCATGCGTTCGGCAGTTTCCGCTCTTCGCTCTGAAGCTGCCCCAATAGCAGCACCTCGGACCACCACTGCACGGGCAGCGCTTCGAAAAACGCCAGGCTCCCCCGCGACAACGGCTCCGCGTCAAAGCACGCCAGCATCACCCGCATTACCAGCGCATCTGCAACGAATTCGATGAAAACTATGTCGCCGCCCGCATCGGCTATCGCACTGCGATTAAAGGCATGCCGCCGATGGAACGTCAGCAGGTGGCACAGGCGCACGGGTATTGCCTGAATTGCCTGGCACCTTCCCACGCAACTCATTAGTGCCCATCACATAATCGTTGTCAAATCTGTGTGCGGGTTCACCATACGCTGTTGCACCGCACTACAAGACGCGACTCCGGACGACCACCAGTTCCCCGCACCAGCGGTAACGTCAGACGTTCTCAAAGAACTCCTGTGACGGCTTACCGCATGCGTGGACCCTCTCCAGCAGAATCTAGTCCCTGGCGCCAAAACCGGACAACATCAACACGGCGCCATCAGCTTAGGCCGCAATCCCGGCGGTCAACTGGCCTCAGCGGCGTTGTAGCTACGCTACAACAGCTACAGCGGCTTCTACGCTAAATACTCGCCTAGGGGGCCAGGATGGCTAAATGATTAGCGATGTCGTATCAGATTTACATCAGTTCACCACACCGAATCGAAAGCACGTATTCACCTCATCACGCGAGAGAACATTACACATTAACACATGCACATGCACCAAAACATGATAAAATTCTACATTCTAAACTACTGTTTAAAACTAATTTTTTAACAACGATTTTTAAGTGCATTTCGCATCAAATAAAACCTTTATAACGATTGTATTGAATGTTGTGCATTTTTCGTTTTAACAAAAAGTGTGAGTGACCTAGAAGATAAGTTTTTGTACAGATGTGTACACAGAAAATTAAAAGAATCAAGTGGACTTTAAAAATATTAGGTACTAAATTTATTCGAAATCGGTTGGTCGCAAACCTTCATACTCGCAGACATTTTTGAACGTTTCAAAAAATTGGAAATGTTAGTTACTCGTGGTGGAAAAAAAGCGATATGTCGATGCAAGTGATGCGACGTTGGTTGATAGAGTTTTGAAATATTTACATAATCAAAGTTTTTTATTGTACTGCTAATTACAATTATTATAATTATTTATGTTATTCTTTTTGAAATGTGTCTTTTTTTTAATAAAATGGCACAGTAATTTCTTAATTTTTAAACTTTGCTGTTAAAGAAAAGTGGGCTTAGAAGAGTAGCAAAGTTTGTGATTTGCCTAGGATGCTCAATTATCTTGGACTGACTCTGAAAACAGTTTGTCTTCAAACCTATTTAGACTAGTAAATAATAAGGCTATATACATACATATGCCCATATACAATAGTTGTATTGAAAGTAATAGTGGTTTTTTTTATTGTGCGGAAAWTTCAAAAGGGTAATAACTTTTAAATAATATTTACTAAACATATTTTGTGTTATATATTTTCATATCACTTTAACAGAAAAAATATGATTAATAATTGTATAATAAACTTTCGAATGATTTTACAGACTTTACTAATTGGACTAAGGTATGAGGATTTATCATGGGACTTTGCCAAACCTAGTGTAAATAATGATCCTGACTGCCAAACTTGCATATTTATTCAAGTGAGTAACTCTAAGTCAAAATATATTGCGTAAGTATGTAAAATTGTTTTCATTTTCTCATGGCATTCAAGAAAGAGTTTGTGGTTATATGAATATTCGGCGGAATTTGTTCACAGACTACGTTGTGAATTTAAATGCTGTTTACAAAATAAATACAATCATTTAGATGATATACGCCTGTTACAACCTAATAATATATTACTCTTTCTTACAATCTATATGGAAATAACCAGATAAAGAAATATAGTATATATTCGAAAACGTTAAGGTTTTGCCAAAGACGCAGAAAGTAGAGCTAAATCATTAAAAAACACAAAAAATGTATGGACATTGTAGCATCAAGAATAGTTTTTCCCGACCGCTTAAGCCCAACGAACCAACAATGATTTAATTGAGAAATGTGTAATTAAATTGAAATAGGAAGTGAAAATAAAAAACTTGTCGCCTTGGTGGTYAGCAATAGACTGTTATTTAATGTAATAAAAATATATCTAGGTACAATGATTAATTTTATGCTAATATATGCGATGGATGTTGATATGTATGCGTATGCGAAATAGCTAAAAAAATATCTTCCCCAGCAGATTCGAATACAGTAACTAATATTTGTGTAACTTTACATAAGTTAACATAAGATCTACATATTTCGGATATATTTGGGCTGACAAACCATAAAGCTCTCAATAATCTTTTAAGCTTTGTTATCGTTTATTTTTAAGTTCTCATTTCCACTTTACATTACAAAACTCAGAAAACATGAAACAGTATAATATATTAATTTTTAATATCGCTTTTGAGGTTAACAATAAAAAAAAGTTCAAGTAAACCAAGATAATAATTAGGAAAAATAAAGTTCATTTTATCAGCATTTCCTATATAATTTTCAGGTCGACAATGACAGGCTTGTAAACTGACATCATGTGCCGACTGACATCCATTAACCTTAATACCTTACTTTTAGATCCATGTTGAAGTGCTCACTATGTGCCTCGCAGCATTTTTCTAAATTATCCGAAATTGTATACAGATGGTTGTGGAGATAGTCCAACTTGATAGTAATAATTGCTCTAGAGTTTGCAGATGTGTCAGCATATTTTTCAAAATTTCATCAGAACTTGGTGCCTTATATAATAGTTATCTAGGAAAATTTTACCATTTAAAAACACTACACTTTTCCAAGCTACACATTCCAGAGTAGTCATAACTTTATTAGAACGTGCATCTTTTAAGAATAGTTATATTTGAGGAGCAACAAACAGTTCATCTTTCAACTTTTTCATACTTCCTTCGGAAATTTTCTACAAATATAATTGGTTAAATGAGATAAGCCGGCCCCCCTAATGTCACTACACCAATACACCACACAAACAGTACCCACATTCCACAGGATCCACATATCAACATCACCCACACACGAGAGGACACCCACACACAAACACATACCACACTGGTCAAAAGGGYCAACTTAAAAGCTTGATCAGTCTCGTTTTGATCGGCAATCGAAGTCTACACATSGCCGCTGTGATCCTCGCGCCCTTTCGATCAGTATTGTTCCGCATATTCCTTTTTAAATTAAAACATCGAACCAAAATAACTGTAATTACCCTCATATTTGTTAAGATTTGTAAACATATTAAAACCCAATCCAATTAAATTGAATTAAAATACCCTTATAAGCGAAACGGGTGTATTATTTAAACACATGAAAGTGGTAAGTGTTAAAAGACAAAGTGAAGTGACTCAAACATGCTACTTTAAACATTGGTCCTTCGAGCCACTGAGAAAGGCACTATTCGAAAAAACAAAAAAATTAATTAAAATACAATAATAAAAAAAGGGTAAATCGTGTGTGCTGTTATTAAAACCAAAAACAAATATAACAAGACCTAAAAAACAAAAAATAAAATTATTAAGTCGGGCGCGAAATACAATTTATATACATACATCCACACGGGCGCGAAGTTTAACATATATAATAAACTGCGGAATCAAACATTAATACAGCTGAAACAAAGAACTGAGAAAAATAATAATAATAAACCAAACAACCCAACCAACAGTGGAAAGCCAAGGAAACAAATTGGATGCATTGGCATCAGCTACCCCCCATATCTTAACCGTATATAAAGCCCTCAAAGACCCTTGAAGCGGCACAAAGTGAGTGTATCCACTCCATTTATTATTTTAAATCATTTGTACGTATTTGCATATATGTATGTGAAAAGTTACAGTAGATCTCTATAAAAACTGTATACGATCCTGTAAATTCTAATAGAACGGTTGCTACCAAACTGTTCGAACTTACTGTTGATTTCCGGGAAACCGAAAACAGTTTGGTACATTACATATGTACATCCAAATATATGTATGAACGGTATATAGTACAGTATATAATATAAAATATATATACAAATACATACATATATATATATATATATACCAGCATATACATATCTGATAAAAGGCCTACTTATGCTTACATTTGTGTATCAAAACACAAAATATTAAAAATTAAAAAATTAAAAATTTCAAGTACTCATTTGACAAAATTTTCCGGCAATACCCCTTATACTCAAAACAATATAAGCAGGATTGCGCAAAAAGTAAGCTAAGGCGATTGCGAAATTTAAAAAGAGAGAAGCAAAATAACAAAACCAAACATATGTACATATATGCCAATAGTCACCACTTTCATATGTACATACCTTACATACCGAAACAAAGTGAGAAACAAAATTAATGTGACATACACCCACATGTACGTATAAACGGCATAACTAAAATTTTACATATTAACCAAAAGTGCATACCTGCACTTCACCCATTTTCTATTCCCCCGTTATCCGTACGGCGAATAMTATACATTTTACAAAATTCCGAGAAAATAAAGCGGTAAATGCGAAATTTGAATTTTTTAAAAATTAAAAAATTTGCAAATTAAAAAAAAATTACGGAAAAAGCAAATACATACGTATTGCGATTTTCAAGTGTTCACATACACATACTTATATTCAAAGTCCAAATCGGCACCTGTCCAGCAATACCCCTTGTTCTTGTTAAAGCACAAGCAAGCAGGATTGCAAACAAAACAAAAAAATWAATTTTTAGCATCTTACGTATGCACATAAACACGCACATATTGTGCAAACTCATATACAAAGGTCATCAACCTTTTTCCTTTCGCTTTCGCTCGTATACGCAAGTATGCACCAACGAGTGCGAAACGTTAAATAAAATAAAAAACAAAAACAAGAACAAACTAGTAGCTAAATACATAAGCACCAGGAATAAGTAAAACGAAATACGCGTTCGTTCTTTGATACTTTGCTTATACAACACAATAAAAAATTAATTTTCGCAAAGATTTCACGCGTAATTATTATTATCAGAACTACACTGAGAGATTTTTTTTTCTTCTTCTCTCATATTTTAAATTTTATCATATTATATAAAAGAACGGAGATTCTAAGGAATCTAAATCAATACAATATTTAAAAGTACAAAAAATGATTTCAGAAGAAAAGAGCCCATGTACATCTGCTGATGCTACCCGCTCAAAACAAGGTGCTACATAGCAAAAAAAGCTTAAAGATATTTCATATACCAAATTTATTGCTGAGAGTGACAGTCTAATTCGATACGGCACTCGATTTTCATCTTCACCGATTCAGGACAATTCTGAATCGGTATTAGAAATAAAAAAAGAAAATCTAAGCAATTTCTGGACACGTCTCTAAGCTGCGTATGACGCAATTCTAGAATCTGACGAATCAGATCTTCCGGAAAATTTTAAATCCTCGGCTCGCTCCAAATACGAAAACTGCTTAGACCA